CCATCGACTTCGGGGACAACGTCGAGATCAAACGAACCTCCGAAAGCCAGGAACAAGATCAAAGGCAGTAACCTACAAGAACAGAGACGATCTTCATCCTCCCCTCGCCAGAAACACCGCCAACAGAAGCGACAACAGCAACAACGGCAGCTGGCGGCGGAAGAAATACTCTTGCAATTGCTGAAAGCTTGCGAGAARCACCACGTCAATTGYCACCCGGACTACCATCCYCGAAATGAMATGGACGATTCTGATGAAAATGATCTGCCCTCCTCGTGTAAAAGCGCCATTACGAATCTTCGGGTGCTAATTCCAAAACTCGAGTGTACCATCGCTCCATCGGACGGGGATGGAAAATCTACCAAAAGTAAGACCCTTACGAACGACATTCTGCAGTTGTGCCGCTTTTATGACAACGTGATCCGTGGAAATTTCTGTCCCCATATGCCCCATCTTTTGGGATGTGGAAAAGATCCGCAACTGATACTCGACAAGATTCTCTATTTACTGCGCAATTCATTGAACGTCGACCTCGGCAACAATCGCGATTTCACGAAAGAGGAAGGTTCCTCAAGCACTGTTCCGAAGGACAGAGTTTCCGCTGTCGCCGAYACCTTTCTCGATGTCGTAAGCCAGACCATCTCGGGGTTGATGGCCTTTGCGGTCGACGATACTACGGACCACATACGACGAAATCTCTTTGTGGACTGGATCGACTTTGCTGAGGATTTGGCGGTACTATCGGGGTTGGAGTCGCAGGCGCACCAGCGGGACCAGATAACCGCCAAAGCAAACGATTGGTTGCCGGTAGAGCTAGTWCTTTTCGAAGAATCTTCTTCGGTAATCAAACATCGTTCGCGGCGGACACAAGAACAAGCAGGACGAAACGACAGGGGTGGTGGTGACGCCGACGGAAACAACCACCGCGAATTCTATTCTCTGAAGTTGCATCGATGGGATCAGGTACGGACATTGCATACGATAGTCCTCAATGTTTTGAATTTGTTGACTTCCAATGGGTCTGCCTTGGAACGACTCCAAGCATCACCGGGACAACAAGAAGGCGAAGACGCACCATCTATGCTGTTGGGAGGTGATATGGACTTGTTTTTCCCATCGGACATTGTAACGGATATTGAGCTGGTRTCTTYGCTGTTAGCGAGTATGAAACCGGTGCTATTGGTTTCACCTGATCCTATTGCGCGATCCGAAAACTCTCCTTTATCTTTTGAAGCCACCGGAGTCTCTGCAAAAGCGGTGGATATACTGATTCGATTGTGTCTCGACTGGCATCGTTTGGGAACAGCAACGGCTTCGATTCCCTTGTTGCCCTGTATGATCGATGCAGCTGTTTTGACCACCAGAACCATTTTGTGTGAGCTATTCAACTCCCGAAACATTCGGGCGGACATCCCCGATATGAACGCTATATATACTAACGAAAAACGACTAGCCTTTCTATTGGATCGGGCCGTGTGTTGTCCGCCCGGACTCGACRACAATCACGGAAATTATACCGACGACAAGAATGGTGTTTCGCGAACGATCCATTCTACTGTTTGGACAACCTTGCTGGACTGTATCGAAGGAATAGTTGGTCGCCTTCATCGCCGCCGACAGAGAAACATCGAAGAATATCAACAATCTTCTGCTTCCAAGAGTGATAGGGATTCTGCCCAGTCTTCAGCGTCATCAGTCATATTGGATGTCGCTGTCCTTGAGACGATTCATTACATTGCAGCAACAACACCTACTCTAGCGCTCKCTGGGTCAAATTATTGCAYRGCGCAAGGCATATTTTCACATTTATTTTTTCTCGYGTCCACTACCTCTTTGGCTGTGCACAACAATGATTGCAGTTGGAACGATGACAAATTGTTACTACAAGCGGCGAATCAATCTCTTGGTGTATTCTTGTGTGCGTCATTGAGAAAGGATGGACACAGCGCGGGTCTTTTGGACCATGCCTGTCAAGGAGCACTGAAGCGACATGYGCAGAATACAAAACAAGCGGTTCTTCAACGTRCAGAAAATGTAAGCAATCCGGGCAGCATGACTGGAAATGGTAGCAATATCGATGTGCAGATTGGYAGCGAAGTAAGTGGTGTGGAATCCAACCGCCGCGGCTCAAAACGAAAACGTGAACCATTRCCTCAGGAGGCATCAGAAATATCCGATAATGCTAATCGCAGTGCCCCATGTCCTATGCAACAAAGGAGTACGATCGTATACCCAACAMTTTGGTACGAAGCGCTAGGTTCATTATTTGACCAGGCATTAGCCGCCGGAGAGAGTCTCAAGAAGTCATACGCGACAGCTACTACAGAGTGTCAAGATTTCGAGATAGGAGAGATGATTGAGGAAATTCGCTGTTTATCAGGAAGTCTTCAACTCTCATTGTCTTTGATCCAAAAAGTGGTCATGACGGCTTGCGATGTGGATCAGTCGGGATCAATTTCCGGAATATCGCACATAGTACATGAATTGTCCAAACAGTTACTATGCGCTTGCAGCCTACTCCTAGGTGAACTCACGACACAACACAATTTGATGATTCCTTCAAACTTCACMATGGTGGATGCAGTTRTAGGATGTGGACTCTCGATGCATTTCTCGAAATTGAAGACCCAGGAGGTGCACGAGTCGCTCCTGGAATTTTCTGAATACTTTCTCGACTATGTTTCTTCATTTAGTGGAAGAATTCTTGAGCTTGAACCGCAACAACAAGGTGGTCTGGACTCTTGGAACAAGTGCATAGGTATTCCCACTTACTTTACAGGAAATAAGTGTCGAGATCATTGCAAGCAGCGATGGTGTATATCTTCTACAGTTGACTCATTGAAATCCGATAAACACCGCAATGAATGGATGTTCGATAGAGCTATCATGACCCTTCATTCGCTTCCTCTTTACGTTCGAGCTGCATTGGTTTCCTCATTACATCCTGTTGAACAGAATTTTTTTTCAGCAACGGAGAAAAATGATTTCGAGTCTATTTTTGGTTGTTACTCACTCGACTTATTTTCTGATCTATTCAACCGATACGCTGATGACCAAAAGGGAAAATCAGTAGACCATRATTCATCCAGATTTATTGCTTCATTGTTACACTTACTACCACTCATGGTCTTATCTAGACACATTAAAAAGAAAGAGAGGGCAATTTCGAGGGGGAATAGAGGCGAACAAAAGAACCATTTTAAGAAGACAGCAGAAGMCTCTTTCAACAAACCGATATTGCTCATCCTTAAAAATGGGATAGGTCCTCTCCTTGCGTCTCTGAAACCGAATGATTCTTTTTTATTTCAGAGTCTCGTGTCCACACTATATCACATCGATGTATTCAATATAGATGCAGATGTTGAACTTCCCATATTTGAGCCAACTGGTATTCTCGAATTTATTGTGACGAGGTATGAACATCTTCAATGTACAAAGAGCAAGAAAGATGAAGTATCTTCCACTCTGCGTGGAATGATGTTCGATCTTGCAGATAAAGGTGTGAGAAACGACGAGGATCCCAAATCTCGATACCTTTTGTGGATATGTGCTGCTCGATATTGTATTARCGCATCGCCATCTGAAATTCGACAAAAAATAACACTGAAATGGTCACAGAACGCGTCCAGTGATCGAGATGATCAAACATCGAAAGATAATTCAATTTTATCATGGCTTGTTGCCACTCCCTTTTCCGATCCAAATAACTCTTTACGGAAATTTGCAACTCGARAGCTTTCRTCTATACTTATGTCGAAAGAGTTCAGCTTTCTGTTAGCCCGATTTTCTTCAAGCGAAGATTTCCAAGACTACTGCACGTATTCTTCCAAAGTAAGGGAATTTAGGAGTGAGAAAAATATGTGCAGCTTGATTCGGATCTCTGATGAAATTGTCGACGGTCTATTTCATGAAATCGATAGGGTACTGAGTGAAGGTTGTGGATTTTCGGAAACACAACTATCATTGTCCCTGGGATGTGTTAAGAGCGGAAAACAGCATCCCAAAAGTTACCGACGTGAGAATCAATTAGCTATAAGGCGGACAGCAGCCAAAGCGATGGCATCGCTATGCTTTCACGCAAATTTGAGCCATCCAATCGGAAAGACGTTATTCGAAAAGAGCACACTGAGATTGATTCGTATGTGGGCTTCTGCGTCAACCGAAAAGAAAGAGAGTTCTTTTCCRATACTGTATAGCACGTCAACCAGTAGAGCCTTGGCTTTTGGGGGACTTTCTTGCTTGTCTGAATCGCGTAAGTTGTCACTTTGCCTTTCAGGAGAAGTATCATGGACATAYTTTCCTTCTGCTATCTTCTGTGATRTTCTCATTCTCAACAATASTAAGAGTCGCGAAGAACAATACAAACTACTAGAGATACTAGTGAATTCCTTTTTRACGCACACCGGAGATTCTTTGCAGAAAAAAACATCWGCATTTCAAGCGCGCAAAATTGTTGACGAGTCAATTCCATCAACAATAGCTCAGCTAGTGAACGACAAAGACGAAGAAACCATACACATGGTGATTGCCTTTCGCCTCTTTATGACGGAAAGATGTGAATCTTTCAAAGCGATGAATCATTATGAAGTCGATGAAATCGGTGTCCCAGAGCCAGCAATGTCGAAGAAGAAATCTCTATCTATTTCGATGGGTAACAGCCAACTTCAGAGTATGACGAAAGACTTATGCCTGAAAAAAATTGACAAAATACTTCCACTCGTTCTTTATTACTCTGATCAAGAAGAAKCTTTGCCGTTGAAATATTTCATGAGACTAACGGCACCAGTAACTCTGCCAGAYATGATGGCCGGTCGAGAGCAGACTATTTTGAAGGGACTCGCATGGGAGTTAGGACGTGATCCACACAGAGTAGATTCCGCTGTGCGTGCTCTGAGAACTGCCGCAGCAGCTCGTGTAAGAGACAAAGCAAACAGAGCACCAGGTGCCACACCAGATCTGACTGCAGCCCATCTATGGGTAACAAAGAATTTTATGTATCTTGTCGTCAACATGGTTCAATTACACTGGGGATCACGCAAGTTGGGTCATCAGGTACAAGCTTTGCGATGCCTCAACATACTATTAGACTTCTTGGATCCTTTGGAAGCGGCTCAATACTTTCCGCAGGTACTGGCAACAGTAAATGTTGCAATCGCTGTGGACAAAGTAAGGGATTTGCATCAACCTGATAGGGCATCTCTGACGTTGCATGCTGTTCAATGCCTTTCAAAGTTTATTCGGCTGTCGGCAGAAAATAGTATAGAAGCAGTAATCGACAATCTTACTACGATTRTAGTGTCGTTGCTTCCGATTCTCGAGGACGATGGAATTGACCTTGACGGATCAATATTGCAAGAGGCCAAAGCCGAAGCGGTGTCAATGCTTGAATTTCTTACCCGTTCAAAGTTTGTCCGCAAGTTTTCCAAAGCATTTTCGCAGATTCCTTTCCTCCCATCATCTGCTGCATTGRTAAATGTCCACAAATCTTTACGAGATAACGGCATTAATTTTGACAATCTGTTGATCCTGTCTACCAGTACGTCGGAGTCTCAAGGTGGTATGAATACCAGAAGAGAAAGTTTGACCAGCGATAACACCAGCAACGCATCTTTCTCAAGCAACGGAGACAACGTGTTAGCTTTGCAAAATCGGCTTAGTCTGATTTCTTCTCTTCTAGATAACGAAAATGCCAGTGTGAGAAAGGTCTCACTACAGCATCTAGTGGATTTATTGCGCACCAACAGGAACTTGTTTCATATTCTTGTTGAGAGCGATGGAGGTTCATCAATTAGAAATTATCTCACGGTAATATACGATCGAAATCAAAATGATATCGGCAATGAACAGGCAAAGCATACAACGAMTGTAACAAGCGTGTCGATTTCTTTCATTATAGAAAAGTTGATGAATAGATGCGTGATCGAAACGAATTCACGAGTCCGTCTTCAGTTAGCGACATGTCTTGGAGAAATCGGGGCCATCGGAGAGAATAGGCTTGATGATATGTCTCTTTTCAGATCCAAAGGGAGCGAGTCAGAGTCAATGTATGAGTGGAGATTAAAGCAACMTCCATGGCAGTCTCGTGCTGCAAAGTATGAGCTGCAATTGGTAACGAAGTGCCTTGTTGCTGCACTCAAAGCAGCTCCGTCACAGGAAGAACAATTGAAAATTGCCTTCACAATACAGCAACTACTGAATTTACTTGATGAGTCAGCCAGAGCATGTGACAACAAAGATTCGACGAATGAGAAATTGGATTGTCAAAAGCGTGAAATGAGTAAATGGCTTATGGATAGATTGGTTGAGGCCAACGTTTATGATTCAGTTGAACCCTATTGGTTATCAGAATTTAGCACCAAGGTAAGATTAGCAAACCTTAATCGAAAAAAATTCGAAGAGGCATTTTCTCATTAAAGCATCATGGTTTCCTTACTTTGAATACGTCGACAGGATGAAAGATTTACTATAAGAAGACAACCTCCTTTCTTCAAAGTAGATAAATCGTACCACCTTTGGATTTCAGAGTTCTGCCGATGGATGATTAAGAAAGCGAAGGATTGCCCACTAAGTAGATGGAAAGACTTTTTTTTCGCTTGTCGAATAGCAATTAGGTCGTCGACTGGTTTGGAAACTGCTGAATTTATCCTTCCCCTTATTGTCTTGGACCGCATTTGTTTTGGATCTGCCGAAGAGTTCGAATTAATTTGCCAGGAATTTATTGGAATCTTGGATATTGGATCGACTTCGACTGCAATGAGCAACAATGAGCGCCGGAAGGCAATCAGTGGTTTCTTTGCAATGATTGACACACTATCCTTCTGGGCTGAAACTGAAACTGAGCGCCGCTATAGGTCAAAGCGTACTTCTCATTCAAAAAGATCATGTAAGGATGGTACAAGGCAGACTTCGCACGACAATTCTTCGTCGAATTGGCCTGCGGACGAMACGATAACACAAATTGAAGAGCTTGTTTCTAGAATTCCTTTGATTGATCAAGCAAGGGCTGCTCAAGAAGTTGGAATGCACGCAAARGGCTTACGACTTCTTGAGATGGTTGCCCGAAAAAGTGTTGTCGAACCTTTTTTCGAATCATCAAGTGATAATAACGATAGTGAAGTTCCTGTGAGCGGTAATATTTTACAGCACTCTTTGTTGGAAAATGCTGATCTCGGATTGATGAAGGTGATGCTATCAAACATGGATGATTGCGAGACCATGAATGTAATTGGRGAGACATCATATCTTGCAAATCCATTACTGAAGRTTGCTGATTCTGTTCAATGGAAAGAAGCCAATGGAAACTTTGAAGGCGCTCTTCGCGATTACGAGCGTGCCCTCCAGGTTAGCTCAGTCGCCAATTTAGGCGCAGAACCAGGTATCGAAAGGGKAGCACTCGACTGCATGCTAAAACTAGGCCGTTATGAGAGTGTATTGAATCGCGTTTTGACAGAAGGCAGAAATGCTGATAAAATGGAAACGCAGTCATTCGCGATACAAGCTGCATGCCACCTTGGTCAATGGGATAAACTTTCAAGTTTAGTTCAACAAAATGAGGCTAGCAAAATCAATTCACTGCCTGATGACATGTATCGCAAAGCAACTGGTAAAGCAATCCTTTGTCTACGGGACCGTGATGGGATATCGATTGCTGACTCATTTCGCAGTGCTAGATCCGCTGTAATGGAGAAGTTGTCCAGCGTTGCTCGCGAGAGTTATTCAAAAGCGTACACAGAAATAGTGAGACTGCAGTGCGTTAGAGAGTTAGAGGACGCAGCAAGATTGCTTTGTACCGATGGTGCTAAAGACATGTTTACATTGAGTGAAGCAGCAGAATCTAAGCTTCACGAAGGATGGGCATGGGATGGTCGTTTGAAGTTAACAACACCACGTGCAGCCTCAGAAATTATGAACGCGAGAGTAGCAATAGCAAGAATTGGTAATGATAGAATTATGGAAGGATCACTTCTTCTTGATATTGGAAAACATGCGCATAAGAACGGCATGGCAACGGTTGCCGAAAATTTCTATTCGCAAGCTGCAGTTACACTCTCATTAATTCGTGAAGTTCAGAACGCTAATCACCAGAAAGTTGGCAATCTAATGGATGATGTACGGGTGCAATATGCAAAATTGAAAATGGAATCAGGTGAGAATCTCCTTGCGCTAAAGATCCTTGGGCAGGAAATGCTTCAGGATGCTCTCAGTGAAATGAGTCAGAATAGTAAAGATATTGAGTTTTTGAAGAAAGTCGCTGTCAAATATGAACGATTAAGGGCGGAAAAGATCTTCGGAGGACGTTTATCCGTTGGTGACGAAAAAGGATTGATTTCACGTTTTTCAAATCGATTGCTTCGACTCACGCAATGGACYGTCGAGGGGGGGATGCAGAGTGGAAATGAAATCATTTTTAGGTTTGAGACTGTTATAACGCTTTCGCCGGACTGGGAGAAGGGTAAGTTGAAAACATCATATTAACTTCGATGCCGCAACATGTTTTTTAATCTTTAATTTTCTTTGCCTCAATCGATGTTTTTGAAGGACATTTTCAATTCGCCAGATACCTGAACGAACTGGTCACAAGATTTTTTGAGAAAGATTCACCTCATGGCATTGGCGATGATGTTATGCGTTTCAATGCTCTCTACCGAAATAAAGTCTGTCATCRTTACRTTCTACTCGCTATTGAGCATTATGCCCAAAATTTACAACTTGATTTGAAGCACGTCTACCAGACTTTACCRCGCTTGCTTTCTCTATGGTTCGACTTTGTTTCTGTCCAGCCTCCGGAATCTGATCCGAATGGCACTCATGGCGCTTTCAAACCTGAATACATGAGTAAGTTCAGTTTTGTTTTGCTGGGAAGTTGTATATATAGCARGTATCATGAGTCCATACCTTACTTAGTTGAACATTTCTCTGGACCAGAATTCCTTAYTGAGAACCAAAATAGAGCAAATGTATTGATGGCCGAGAACACAAAAGCGATCCCAGCTGCAGCATACTATACCGCTATTCCCCAGCTCATATCACGTGTAATTCACAATAATGAGGATACCGCGAAGGTTGTGAAGAGAATCTTAGAAAGGGTGCTTGCTAAGTTCCCCCACCAAGCAATGTGGCATCTTGCTTGGTTGMGAGGTTCCAAAAACCAGGAGCGCTCGAAGATTGGGGGTGACATTTTCAAAGGGGCACAAAGGGTATTGATTAAAAATCGCCAAACTCAAGTTGCCAATCTTTTGAAAGCATCAGATTCTCTATTCAAATTTCTACAAGATCTCGCCAAGTAAGTGAAACGAGAACAATTTCCTGAGATGTTTCATTTGATTTTGATCTTTTCCTCCTTAATTTTCATATATTATTAATTTCGTTCAATTTTCGTCAAGATTCACTCCTAAAACTAAATCAAGCTCAGTGTCAGTCAAAAGTTGGAAAGGAATCGCAGATCTCAGTGAATTCATTCCTCCTGTACAGGCTGCTATGTCAATTACTCCATTCAAGTTAGTCAAGAGTAGCACAAGAGAATATTTTCCTCGTGTGATCCCAAGAATGAGAGCATTTTCGTCCAAAGTGTCTGTGATGCAGTCGAAGGCGAGACCCAAAAAGCTGAAAGCATTTGCTGTACCTGGAACTTGGAAGCACGCGAATGTAAATGGCAGTAAAGATGGTGCTGGAAGAGCTTCTGCGTCAACTCCAYTCGACTGTGACATTGGAGAAATTCATTTTCTCGTCAAGCAAGAGGCAAAGGGTGACCTTCGTAAAGATGCCCGAGTACAAGATTTGAACAATGTGATCAATAGACTAATGTCTTCATCAAAAAACTCCAGCAGTACTCTTGCGAGCCGCAGCCGACGCTTGCGTGTTCGTACATTTGCTGTGACCTGCCTTTCCGAGGATACAGGGATACTCGAATGGGTTCCGGATACAGACTCTCTCAGAAATCTTGTTCACAGGTCATATAACTCGCAAACATCTTCTTTTTGTCCACGGAGGAGGGGATCCAGAATGACCAGTTTTGCAGACGCCACAATGCGATCTCAATTCGAGCGGGCTCAAAATCAATTTTTGAAAAACGGGGATATAGCCCAAGCGGCGAAATTGTACTATTTGCTATGCCTCAAGCAACACCCTCCTGTTCTTTCATGGTGGTTTGTTCAAAAATTTCCTTCGGCAACTGACTGGTACGAGGCAAGGACGAAATTCACACTCACTGCTGCAGCATGGTCTGCAATCGGTCATGTGATTGGTCTTGGTGATCGCCACTCAGAAAATATATTGGTGGAAACCGCAACCGGAAGAGTAGTTCATGTTGACTTCGATTGGTAAGTTATGAGTATTCCGTACATCATCTTGTACTCAATGTTCTCCAACTATACTAAAACGGATCGCTTTACTTCTATACTTGTATCAAAACTCTGAAACATACCATCGCAACCCTTCGGTTTCATTATGTGCACGACTATCTGAACTCGATTGATAATTCAGTATATTTGATAAAGGGTTGAACTTGCCTCGTCCGGAAGTTGTGCCCTTCCGTCTCACACCGAATATGCTGGATGCCTTTGGCCCTACAGGGGCCGATGGAATGTTTAGTAGCGGGATGGAGTGTAGCTTGGAAGTATTACGTGAAAACCGAGACACGTTGCTATCTGTTCTGGAACCTTTTGTAAAAGACCCTGTCATTGATTGGAAAAGGCATAGAACGCAACAGAATGTACTGCCAACAGCAAAACTACCAAACGACTCCCATGGCGAAGCAACGAGATCGATACACGTCATCAAGGAACGTTTGTCCGGGATTTGCAACATGCGAAATCCAAATTACAGAAAACTCCGAAATATTATCCCGCGTGAACATTTATCCAGGATTGAACAGGACAACATGACGATCGGCATTCTTCCTTTGTCGGTAGAGGGCCAAGTTCAAAAGTTGTGTGTGGAGGCATCAAAGAATGAGAATCTAGTCCAGTTGTACGTCGGATGGATGCCTTGGGTATGAGCGACATCCTATGAAAGCTTGTAAAATGGGCAATTGACAACGGATCGGCCGAAATGGATCTATCAGGGCCGAACGATGTGGAACTTGTGACTGAACTACCATGCAATTGTATTCAATGCACGGTGAGTTGAATCGCAAAGCAACGGAACGAACGAAGRAACCTTCATCTTGTGAAACACAACACAGAAAAACCCCATTTTGGCACCTTTTTGTGGAGTKTTGAGTTGGAGACCATTTTGCACCTTTTAGTGGGGTTTTTGGTTTGAGCCAGAYTGCCTCGCTTTGATGCCAAGACGAGCATCATCGTAACTAAAAAGTAAACATACKTAAAATTTATAGCGGRTACGGCGTTCCAAAGAAAACATCATCTCTACTCAAATACAACATTTATTCCTGTATTTTTGGTCACCCGAATGGTAACGAGCGGGGGTTGGACTGTCATGGGTCGTGTCGTTTGAGATTGTTCCTGCAGGAGCTTCATAAATGGCAMCACCCCTTGCCGATCGGAATCGCTCAGCCATCTCTTGATGTCATCGACTTGTCCTTGGGGCGCTCCCAGAAAGGGCTTCCTRCGCATGTTCAGGAGATACCAAGATGCCAAATGGTTTTCTAACAGTCTCTTGGACATTTCGTGTGGCAGCATCGCATGCGTTGCAACCCGATCGCGTCCTCGAAAGGCAGGACCGAGAGGACCAAAGTGGTTCAGAGTCACCTCGAAATTTCCGAAMCCATATTCCATTCGGTCCCGCAAGTTATGAGGAAAYAATCCCCGCAGTCGCTGGAGAAACGYCATCAATTCATTGAGGGGAAACATACACGAATACGTTATCGATGGCAGAAACCATGGACGATACTCTGGATGCTCCCTCATTTGCTCCCTTAGTTGCTCTAATTGTCYTGCGGCATTGTTTGGATCTTCAAGAAAAGCGTGTGGATCATGGAATAGATCTATAGGTTCCAACACTCCCGAGACGGGCCCAAAAGTCAAATGTTGGGCTTGATGAATCGTAAATGGGGAGCTTTGTAGTAATACACTGTGCAAGAAAACCCAACATTGGTACCATTCACTTGTCGAYGTTGTTTCGTCCGTTCGATCAGGACCAGATGTTGATTCCGTGGAACTGGTACCATCGACGACAGCAGATGGATTTGCGCCCTCACCASCCCTGGTTCGAATGCTGCCGAACGACGCCAAGTGGTCTGTCCACTGACCAAACGAGGGACCTCCCTCTACCACCACTCTTGTTTTGCTGCCATAATTCTCGCCATCGTAATCGGTTGGGTACTCAAAATTGTCGTCGTGGCCGTTGCCGTTGTGGTAGGAGTGCCCGATCAAGCAACTTGCTGCCAAGACATCTCCCATGTACCGTTCAAGGGTCACGGTGAGCGTTTCATCGTCGCTGCCCCTGGGATTGAAGTTTTCGACGTACGGATCGGGATTCAGTTCCACGGTACATCTTCGSAGCAAAGATGCGTGCAATCGATGCGCACGGGTGATCGAAGAGAAGCGTTTCAGTAGGGTACCATGGTTTCYGGTCGCATTCTCCTGCGCTGCTGTAGTTGTTCGCTTCAAGTCCGACACGAGGTTTTTCAAATCGTCGTTGAACGGATGCGAAATAGGAATCTTTCGATAGAGCCCCTCGATGCGTTCCATGACCGAAGGCAAGGTAAACCACGTGCTTGTCTCCGGRACCTCCACATCGGGGCTGTAGAYCGCGTGCAGARTTTCCACGTGAGAAGGTATGCGGTATAGGAAGGACTCTCTTCCACTGTCGTTCGCTGCCGGTGCCGCCCCGTCGTTTYCGCTGCCACCAACGACGCTGTTGGGTGTCAACAGCGTGTCCCCGGKTGGCAGTGCCGAAGTTCGAATCGCATTCAACGGCGAGCTCTTTTCCAAACCGCAAGCGTACTCCTCACAAGGACGGACGAGGAATTGTTCGTGCCGACGACGATCGACCTCGGCTATSACGTGCTCGAGGCTCGCTCGCGAGGTTTCGGCGTATCTGAGGCAGTCGAACAAGGACAAAAAGTCAAAAACATGGTCTCGGCAATCCCGAGAAAGAAGGTGGATTGCGTCTTGTGCTCCTTCCCCCCTTTTGGAGTGGGATAGAGGATTGCTTGGTGTCATGGTATGCTGCACGATGTTCAACCGCCGTTTCGAAGAATTGAGAATTTG